CACCCCCAAATAGGGGTGCGCCCTTTCGTGGTACGAATTTTTTAAAAATGTTATCAAAATCGGATAGGGAGTACCTGAAAATCTGGTCATAGACGTGTCACCCATCTTTGTAACTCTTATGGTTGTTGAGAATTGGAGCACAGAAGTTCGAATAGAATCCATAGCAAAATGAAAAGCAACCATAGAAAGCAACTTCCGTAATTTATTTTGACGTTTATTGTCGTCATGGAAATAATGTCATGGCTTCGGAATTATCACTTATAATTGCACAAGAGGTTTGTATTTTACCGAGTAAATTTGGGTTGTTTAGGTAACGAAAATCTGTTGCCTAGCAATTAGACGAGAAAAACTGTCACCTAATAAAAATGCGACACCGAAGGTGGAGCATTTTTAGGTTGACAGTTTTTCGAGTTCAATTGCTAAAAGGAAACAGATTTGAATTGCAACAACCCAAATTTACTCGGTTTAAATATAAACCTCGAGTGTAATTCGGCAGGACAATTTAACGAACAAGAAATTCACCAAACTAACCAATTATTGACAGACGTCAAACTAGTCATATGGGAAAGGATAATGCGATAATAGGTTCAAAAATGAATAACTGAAAAAACCACTAGTGCATTTTTCGCTGGAAAAGATGCAGGTAACTTTTGCCGCTGTCAAAGTGACAATTGCACTGCGGCTTATGGGATTTTTTATACATGAGTTGAATTGTCACGTATAAATATAAATTCGCGTGGATAATTACGCTTAAAGTTTCATTTGATTCATTGAATAGTCCTCCGAATAGCATTCGTAGTCGAAATATTTCTCGATTATTTTTGAGGTGCTGTTCCACTCGTGCTAGTTTACGCTTTTTAATACCACTCGCGCTTAATCAGCGTTACTAGCATTCGTGACAGCACCTCAACAATTATCGACAATACTTCGACCACCTACTTATGGTATTACGATAAATATGACTATTCAATTCATCTAACATTTGTCAGATTTCAACCAGTGAAATGTCTCGATTTCAAATTGCTGCGCCAATGGGAACGAATTATAGTGATAATTGCACGTGTGGTATTTCAGCGATAATTTCACGTGTGGTATTTCAGCGACAATTCAACTCATGTATAAAAAATCGCATAAGCCGCAGTGAAATTGTCACTTTGACAGCGGCAAAAGTTACCTGCAACTTTTCCAGCGACAAATGCACTAGTGGTTTTTTCACTTATTCATTTTCGAACCAATTATCGCATTATCCTTTCCCATATGACTAGTTTGACGTCTGTCAATAATTGATTAATTTGGTGAATTTCTTGTTCGTTAAATTGTCCTGCCGAATTACACTCGAGGTTTGTATTTAAACCGAGTAAATTTGGGTTGTGGCAATTCAAATCTGTTTCCTTTTAGCAATTGGACTCGAAAAACTGTCAACCTAAAAATGCTCCACCTGCGGTGTCGCATTTTTATTAGTTGACAGGTTTTCTCGTCTAATTACTAGGCAACAGATTTTCATTACCTAAACAACCCAAATTTACTCGGTAAAATACAACCCTCTTGTGCAATTATAAGTGACAATTCAACTCATGTATAAAAAATCACATAAGCCGCAGTGTAATTGTCACTTTGACAGCGGCAAAAGTTACCTGCAACTTTTCCAGCGACAACTGCACTAGTGGTTTTTTCACTTATTCATTTTCGAACCAATAATCGCATTATCCTTACCCATATGACTAGTTTGACG